TCTAAATTTAATCAGAATCAGCTCGAAATTTATGCACAACATAAAAAGATGTATGTATCAGGAAATATTATTAAAATGGAGAGTTCTTTCTTTTTTCAATTTTGGCGAAATTGGACCTGTGGCCGTGTACTATAGTACAGGGACTTTGGCCCAATTTCAGAATGATTTAAAAAAATTCTTTTATCAATTTGAATTTGATCGGAATCAGCTCAAACTTTCTATACAAGGACCAAAACATCAAAGACAATCATATTATTATTATTATTATTATTATTATTATTACTATTATTATTGTTGTTATTATTATTATTATTAGTATTATTATTATTATTATTGTTATTGTTATTATTATTATTATTACTGTATATATTGATGGATTGGCTGGTTCCATAAAAGGATGAGATGAAATATCATCAATAATTAATCTAGAGGTACCTAATATCCAGGACTAGAGGAATGAAAGAATTAACATTAAAATTTATGTGCAATCAATAAAAATATCATTATTAACTTACCTGTACTGTGTTGTTTAGTCGATTCAACATTAGTAGCATCATCATCTTCACAAATTAATATCTAAATAAAATAATAATAATAAGAATGTTAATATTAATAATGGTAATAATACAGTAATTACCATAGATATTAAAAATTTTAATGACAAATGAATTTTACAATAATTAGATATTTTAACTCCCGCCCACTTTGGCGGGAAGATCTCGAGAGGCGAGAAATTGTAATAAAAATGGCTGACAGGGAGAATGTCTCTCAAGAAGAATCCTCAGTAACTTCACGTTAGTTACAGCTATATGCAATAATAATGAATGCCATCAACGTTACTAAATATATCAGCATTAGTTATTGCCTCATATAGACTATAAACTGTTTATTAAGAATTAGAAATGAATCAGTTTTTCTTTCCTCCTCCCTCTCTCTCTTTCTCCAGCAATGTCAGTGCCACCTGCTGCCCTACAGACCTCAGATATCACTTCACCTCCTCCCGTTGAAGAGGAGAGTGAAGAGGAATCCTCCCAGAGAAGGCGACGTAGGACCGACCCCTCCAGTCCATTTAGTTCCAACATATTCTCACCTCCGGCTCCCTCTAACATATTACCATCCTCTGAGATAGACCTAAGCTCTCCACTTACTTTTGGTACACCTTCCTCAAGGGTTGGTGGGCCGGGCTCTAATCGTGGGTAAGCCCTTTTAATTCTCTTGTCCAGATCGTGAAGGGTTTTTGTTTAGTGCCACGCCCGTACGCCCACGCGGGGATCTGGGTCAGTCTCAGAGACTAAGAGAAATCAACGTTGCTGTTTTAGACGGGGTAAGAGTACTCTCATCTTGAATTATTTTTTTGTATTATTATTCT